GGGAAAAGGCTGAGAATCTCAAAGTTGAAAATCGAGGGGATTTAACGGGGTTGCCCCAAGGTGATGTGCTAGGGCGAATTAGACGTAAGTCTAACAATTCTTTTAGTTGTTTGCGCAACTCGTCCAGCCCCAAAGGGCTCATCTTGAAGGGTGGTCGATTGATTGGTTCGGCATCTCCAGTGTCAATGATATGTGCTACATCCCGTTCACGAGGTAAACCAGGCAAACGGTCTTGAAACACGTCCTTGAACTCATTGAGCAATGCATCAATAGACTCCTTGTCAACGTTTTCAGAGGGCTTGACATAGCAAAGATAGAACTCGGAGATCTTTTTGAGGCGATCATGTCGTTGTAGTTGCCGATCCGAAAGCAGGTAGGCCAAATCGGGAAAGGTGCGTTCATGTTTGGGACGAAGCAAATACTGATGACCATTCTTGTTGATTTGCCAAGTGTCGACATCCCATGCTGGTATTGGATTCACAGCTTTCAACCAGTCGCGTCCGAGGATAACGTCAAACTTGGTATCCAGCACAAAGGCATCGACGCTGTGCTTGTACCCCGCAGCATCCAACACCAAAGTAACTTGTTCATCAATCGACAATGTGTGTCCACCAGCAGTTTCAACAGCACGACCAGGCACCTTCCTTCGAGTTTGACCCATGACCACATGCGACGAGACATATGAACATGTAGCAACACTATCAATCAGGGCACTTACAACAACACCATTGCAAACAATAGAATACAAAGGTAACTCAGTCTCTTTTATTGAATACAAGGCATCAATGTAAGCTTGATCCTGATTCACGGCATTGTGGTCTATGCTACTAGTTGTCACCGGTTGAGAATCTTGATCATCCTTGTCATCCAAATCGATAAGCGTTGCTTCTGGGACTTGCGAATCTTGCTGCACCATATGAAGAGATTCTTGAGAGCGCGGTAAGGATCTCTTCACTCCTTCCGCGCTTTGCCTTTTAAATCGCCAGCTTGTTGACCACGACCAGCACCACGAGAAGACGAATTGAGTTGTGATGGACACAAACGAGCGACATGGCCCATACCACCACAATTGTAACATTGTTTGTCATGCATGCTACTTGTTGGGCGATAAGACCGAAAGCGTGGCTGTCCACCATTGTTGCGCCATCTTTGTTGAAAAGGGCGGTTGCGAATGACATCAAGATCCATAGGTGCGACACCATCAGAACGCAAGTATTCAGGAGGTCGTGTATCTTGACGAGGAGGTGTTGTGTTGGACAACAACTCATGACGAATGTTGCGTGTATGTGATGGTTGCTAGGCAACAAGGCAAGGTTGATTTCAAAAGCAGGCTCAAGTTCAATAACAAGAAAGATGACAAGGACTGGTAACAAGGACAAAGGTAACAAGGAACAAAGATAAGGACAAGAGCTACAACGATGCAAGGGCTAATCTATAATAGAAAGGGTGGCCGTTAGGTACACAATCACAACACGTCTGTGCAAGATCACGTACCAAGCGACAAGACAAGGACAAGGATCAATGAGCAAGATATCAAGGCTATGACTAAGCAAGGACAAGAGTAGAGCACAAGGGCACAAGATAATCAGACTGAGGTTTATTGAATACGAATGATAGCTTATTTATACAAAGGAGAGAGGAATGGCAAGAATGAGACAACAATAAAATATGTGAATAAAGCATCCATTGATGGTTCGAATGATGATCATGACACTGCCCTCCCCTTTAGGCTCGAGTTCGTTAACGAGAGCGGTCTTATGGCCTAGGTCGATTTGGGAAAGAAGCATGGAAGTCACGAACACAGTCGTTGGCGTTCCATAAATTATCCTCGGGCTCCCACGTATTGTCGGCAGGGTTGTCGTAACCTTTCCATTTCACCAAATACTGTATCCCACGATGGCGGATTCGACTATCCAATACACGTTCAACTTCGTAATGTTGCTCATCTTGAACTTCAATGGGAGGTGGAGGTGGTTTTGAACGACCAGGTATGTCCGGTAGACTTTGTGGTTGTTTTGATAATAAGCTTACGTGGAACACAGGATGAATGTGCATGGAGCTTGGCAATTCGAGACGATACGCATGAGAGCTGATTTTCGCCACTACCTTGAATGGGCCAAGGTGAGTATGGTCAAGCTTCTTGGATGGTCGAAGGGTACGTATGTTGCGTGCCGAAAGGAATACCAAATCACCAACAGCAAAGGAAGGTGTAGGATTATGACGATCATCGTACTGTGCCGCTTGTTGTCGTTGAGCCATGGCTATTTCATCCTTGAGTACATCGTGCAGTTCTTGTAATCCTTGGATCTTGAGGGCCACATCGTCTGAAGGTAAGGCATTGGATATACTTGGAGCAGCATGCAATGTAGTCGAACGAGGATTGTAACCATAATTTGCATAGAATGGCGCGTGGCGTGTAGACGATTGTATGGCATTGTTATAACTGAATTCGGCAAAAGGTAAAAGTGATGCCCAATCATCCTGCTGGTAATTGACGTAGGCTCTTAGATATTGTTCCAGGATACCATTCACACGTTCAGTTTGACCGTCAGTTTGAGGATGAAAGGCCGTAGACATGCTTGATTTGATCGATAATGCTTGCAACAGGGATTGCCAAAAGGAAGACGTAAACAAGGAACCACGATCGGAATGATTTCAGAAGGTAAGCCATGAAGTCGAAATACCTCCTTTGCGAATAGGTTGGCGAGACCCGCAGCATCGATGGAGTCGTGACAAGGGATGAAATGCGACATCTTCGTTAGCCGATCCACAACCACCCAAATGCAATTGTATTGTTCAGACGTAGGCAACCCCGAAATAAAGTCCATACTTATAGAAGACCAAGGAGTGTTTGGGATTTGAAGAGGATTAAGATGACCTTGACGTGCTTGATGATCGACTTTTGTGCGCTTGCATGTATGACAATTTGCAACGTAGCGATTGACAAAGCTTCTCAACCCAGGCCAATAGAATGATCGAGAGACTAACTCACTAGTCTTAGCTCTTCCCAAATGACCTGCTGTTTGAGAATCATGATGTGCTTGTAGGATTTCCATTTTCAAAGCGTCGTCATCCGGAATGTAGACCCTGTTGTTCCAAAACCATAAGTCCCTTTCATCGTCAACGTGAAACTTGCTAAGCTTTTTCCTCAATTGTTGTGGAGCCGATGATGGTGATTGTACCATTTGCTTGATGTTTTTCAACTTGTCGTCACGAAGCATCGCTTCCTTGATTTTACTCACGAATGCTGGGTCCACTGGGCAGGATGTAGAAGCATTGATCACGATCTGATCTTCTGAGAACATGGATTTGACGGGTTGCTTGTCATCACCTCCCCCTTCCGAAAAAGCCATGTCCGATCTACGAGAGAGGGCATCGGCTTTTGGATTTTGTGATCCTGGGCGGTATGTAATGATGAACCAATATGAGCTGAGTTGAAGTGCCCAGCGAGCTTGACGGCGACTAAGATCTTTGCATGATTTAAAATACTCGAGATTTTTGTGGTCTGTGAAAACGGTGATCCTGTGCTTGGATCCTTGAAGATAATGTCTCCATACTTGGAAACTCTCGACGATGGCCAAGAGCTCCTTGTCGTAAATGTCATAATTGACTTCACTTTGGTCGAGCTTACGGCTGTAAAATGCAATAGGGTGTGCAACGCCTTGGGGATCTGGTTGATTCAAGACTCCTGCTGTAGCGAAATCTGATGCGTCTGTTTCCACTATGATCGGCTGAGAAGGATTGAAATGCTGTAGAATAGGAGCTGTGGTGAAGCATTGCTTGAGGGTGTTGAAGGCTTTCTCTTGGGTTGATGTCCAATCGAACTTGGCATCCTTCTTAAGTAGATTGGTAATAGGTGTAACAAGCTTGGAGTATTGGTGGATGAAACGGTGATAAAAGTTTGCAAAGCCTAAAAAGACTTGAACATCATGAACCGAAGTAGGTGTTGGCCATTCCAAAATGCAACGCACTTTTTGTGGGTCCATAGATATGCCAGAGGTATCAATGTGAAAACCAAGGAAGTCGATTTCGGTAATGTCGAACTCGCATTTATCCGCCTTAGCAAATAGCCCAGCTTCGTGTAATCTTTGCAATACCTTCCTAACGTGTTGATCATGCTCTTCCTGTGATTCACTATAGATCAAAATGTCATCGAGATAAACGACGACAAACTGGTCTAGATACTCGCGAAGCACGTCATTCATGAAGGATTGGAAGGTGCCCACGGCACCTGTGAGCCCAAAAGGTAGTACGCGGTATTCAAATTGCCCGTATCGACAGCAAAAACTAGTTTTCCACTCTTCACCAGGTGCAATACGTATCCTATGGTATGCGTTGCGTATGTCAAGTTTGGTGAAAACGCGAGCTGAAGCAAGCCGATCCATCATCTCGTTGATTAACGGTAGTGGGTAACGGCATGGAGCTGTAATTTTGTTTAACCCTCTGTAATCCACGCATAGGCGTAAGGATCCATCCTTCTTTTTAACGAATAAAATTGGAGCTGCAGCAGGACTCGATGATGGTTGAATGAATCCGTTTGCCAAATTCTTCTTTAAGTAATCGGACAACACGCCTAATCCATCTTGCGACAACGAGTATATGGGACCAAAAGGGGGTTTTGAACCAGGTTCTAATGGTATGCTGTGATCAACTCCTTGACGATGAGGTGGAAGTGTGTCGGCTTCTTTCTCACTAAAGACTTCCTCTAGATCTCGGTACTTGAATGGAATTGTATTATCGGTTGACGGATTTTCATTTACTGCAACCTCTGATAAGGAAATGGAGCCTTCAGCGATATCCACAATTGCTTGGGGAGTGGTAGCTACCAGAAAAAGTTCATCTCCTTCAGCAAAGCATTCCTCAACCCCAAGTGCGTTTGCCCATTGAATTGCTGATTGAGTGTGCTTTTGTGGTATAGCCTCAACAACTGGTGGTGCAGCCAAACATTGTGTTGTACAAAGATTTGATGAAAATGATAGACGACGACATGACCAATCGATGGAAGGATTATGGTGTGATAGCCAAGGTATGCCTAATATCGCCGAATAACGGCCCAATGAAGCCACTTTGAATATGATTGTTTCCTCATGTTGGCCCAAACGCATCCTAACGTCACATTCATGCGTTACTAGGCCTGATCGAATTTGGCTACCATCCACGGTGCTGACTTGTAAAGGTTTTTGGCTCTTGATTGAAGGAATGTGATTTGCATCAACAAAAGAAGCGTCTATGAAATTTTCCATTGCGCCCGAATCAACCATGACTTCCAATTGTAGTTGCTGATTTTCAAAGAATAAGATAGCCGACAGGTGAATAGGTGTCCTTTGACGTTGTTCGGCATGATTGTTATGTGACACAGTGCAGACGAGGGTAGGGCAGAGAGATTTTTTAAAACAAGCATTGCTTTTATTTGTATCACCCAGAGAATACTCTCTTATAGACCCTGGGCTTGTTCTTTTCCCTTCTTGTTGGGACACCTTGCAGCAGCATGGCCTTCTTCACCACAATAGAGGCACAACCCCAATTTGCGTCGGCGAGCCTTCTCTTCATTTGACAAAGGCTTGTAAGCCTTTATGGCCCCAATATCCATATCCGAGACATCAGGTGATTGAGAAGTTGAAGTACGTGGAATAGGGCGAGATTTTGCAATAAAGGACATGG